TAATAATAGTAATAAAATATATCTAAAAATAAACAATAAAAGACCACAAGACTGAGGATATGCAAGATAAAAAGATAATTATAAAATATTAAAGCAAAATTTTAAGGGACAGGTACATAAAGGATAGATGTTTCAGGATAGGAAGATATGATCCTAGAGAGACAAGTTCTTTCCAAACTGATGTATTCAATATAATTCAAATAAAAATGCCAATGCTCTTAGTGAACTTGTCAAAGTTAATTTAAAAACCTATGTCAAATGGAAAGAGTTAAGTCTGGAGCAATAGCATATGCATGTAATCTCAACTACCCAGGAAGCTGAGGCAGGAGGATTTCAAATTTGAGGCCAGCCCGGGCAACTTAGCATGACCCCGTCTCAAAATAAAACAAAATAAAAAGGAGAGGGGAAATGCCTCTATGGTGGAGTACCCTGGGTTTATCCTTAGGAGGGGAGAACAATTAGGACACTTCTGAAAAATAAGGAGTTAGATATTAGCTCAGTATAGAGAAATGAACCAGGAAACAAAACAGCGAGCTAACATACAGACTTTTCTACACAAAGGAAGCTGATGTAACAGTGGTGACACTGAAAATCAGTGGGAGAAGACTGTTTAATAAATGGTACTGGGCTGAGATAGCTGTTTTAGCATACGGAAACTAGACCTCGTTCAAACATTGTACCAAAAAATCCATTTCAGACGTTTTAAATTCCAATATGGAAAAGAAAACCTAAAAACTCTGATCTTGAAGTCCTAGGGGAAGGTATAAATTTGGACCCCTAAAGGAAAATATAAACATCAAAAGGAAATATAAACATTAAATCTAAATTTGCTAATCATCATAAAACAAAGAATAAGCAGGAAAAAATATATATAGCTCTTGAGAGAGAGCTATATGTGTATGTATACATAGCTATGTAACTTATGACAAAGGACTGATATACAGAAGAGACAAATAGAAAAAGTAGAAGAAAACGGTCCTAAACTGAAGAAAGATCTAACTGTTCACTGAAATACAGAATGAAATAACAAATAAAATAAAGACAGGTAGACCTAAACTGGTTGAATTTAAATTTTTTTTCATTAAATTTACTGGTACATTTAAAGCAAAAAATACAGTTACATTCATCATTGGGATCTTGTACCTTTACATGAAATGTCTTGGTTCTTGCTTTTCCCCATACTCCTGTTCTCCCTTCACCCACTTCATCCTAAATTTAAATTCTAAGGAAGAAAATAAAACTGGCATGAAACATCTCTTCTGGAACACTTAACTGCTAGCAGAGAATGGGACAGTGCTGTATTTTCAGACTTCTGAGGAAAAAAAATGTGTCATTACAAATGGAATTGTACACCAAGCCAAAGAATGCTTGGGGTGTGTCACAACAAACATATTCTCAGATATGCAAAGACCCTGGAAACACAATGGACTTGTAACCTTTCTAGTAAAAAATATTCAAAGAAGTTCTTGAAGTACAAAGAAGTTTACGATGAACTCAACAGAAGACATGGTACACAAGAAACAGTGTGAATTAAGATTATATAATTACTGATGCCATCCTAAGATTTAATTACATTATATGTGCTGCTGAAGCAAGCACAAGATTTCATTATATTAAATAAAGATTCTTGAGATAGGTAATGAAAGTCTACTCTAAACTTTTTTCCTTTTTCTCATTTCTAATACTTCATTCTTCTCCCTCATTCTTTATTTTTCTGCCCCAAGAGTTTCTTTATTGTGATGTCTGATCCATGAATAAGGTTTTTTAGCTATGTTTAACCTGGTCATTACTAACTTGGAATTCTTAACTGTGATCACCTTTTTTTTTTTTTTTTTTTGGTACCAGGGATCGAACTGAGGATCTTGCACTTGTGAGGCAGGCAGTGGTACCACTGAGCTAAATCTCCAACCCTCTGTGATAATTATTTTGTTTTAATTTCTAAAAAAATCTTTGTTTTGAGATTGCTTCCTTTGTAGAACAGACTATCTTGTTAATTAATGGAATTATCTCCTTAACTTACAATGTAACATTTAAAAAGTTATTTTGTGAGCTGGGCATGGTGGTACACACTTGTAATCCCACCACTGGGAAGACTGAGTGGAGAGGACTAAGAGTTTGAGGCCATCCTGGGGTACAAAGCAAGTACATGACTAACCTAGGATGCATAGTGAGACCTTATCTTTAAAAAAAAGTTACTTTATGATCTTAATTTAACTATTTTGACAGGGGCCTTTTCCTTTGAACTTGTTGACTCTCCTGTCTAGTTATGTTTCATTTTCAGTTTATAAATGAAAGTCTATTTCATTTGTAGGTGTGGTAGCTCATGCCTGTAATCCCAGCACTCAGGAGGCTGAGGCAGGAGGATCTCTGTGAGTTTGAGACCAGCCTGGGATACATAGTGAGTTCCACGTCAGTCTCAACCACATAGTGAGACCCTGTCTCAAAAAACCAAACAAACAAACAAAAAAGAAAGTCTAGTGCCATCTGATATAATTTTCTGTAATGATAAAAAGGTTCTATTCTATAATGTTCAATATGGTAGCTACTAGACACATGTGGCTGCTGAGCATCAGAAATGTTACCATGACTGACAGTACTAATTTTAAGTTGCAATTAATTTCAATTGAAATATAAATAGCTACACGTGGCTGGTAGCTACTACACCGAAGAGTGGTCTAGATTGTTCAGTATTCTTAGCTCCTATGGACTACTTCCCCAGCAAATGCATGGATCACTAATGACTTCTTCAGTTAAGATTTCCTTCTCCAGCTCTATGGAAGGTACAAAAAAGGGTTGACCGCTATGGTTGCCAAGTTCCCTGAGCTGTAGTGTAGAAAAAGACCAGTAGGTGGACTCCTCCCTTTAGGAGGGCTTGATGAGAAATGAGAAGATATCTATCTACCTTTGTTCTTTTCATCAACACCCAGCCATAACGCATAGACTGTGGAGACTCAGAAGTGGCAGGCAGAGAGGGCAGCAGGCGTAAGCACGCCACCATCGCTAACAGTGTGCTCGTTCTTGCCGCATGCTCCATGCACCCCAGCACTGAGGGAGGCGCAGGCAGAATGATCACAAGTTTGAGTACCACCTGAGCAACTTAATGAGACCTGGTGACCTAGGGAGACCCTGTCTCAACATAAAAAAGGGCTCAGCATGAAGGCCCTGGGCTTCAATCCCCAGTAAGAAAGGAAGGAAGGGGGAAAGAGGAAGAGAGGGTGGGGAGGGAGGGAGGGGATGAATGAGGAGGGGAGGGGAGGGGTTAAAAGATGCTAGACACAGAGAAGACCACGTGACGATGCAGGCAGAAATCGGAGTGATGTATCTGCAAGGTGAGACAGGGCAAGGATTGCTGGCAACCAGCAGATGCTGGAAGAGACAAGGAAGAATTCTCTAGAGCCTGCCAAGGAAATGTGACCCCTGACACCCTGATTTCAGATTTCTAGCCTCCAGAATTGTAGATAATACATGTCCATGGTTTTAAACTACCCAGTTTATGGTATTTTACTAGAGCAACCCTGAGAAATTAATGCACTATTGATCCCTAAAACAGAAAGGAAGCTTTTGGTTAAGTTCTCAGAAAAAAAGACCATATATCTTTCTATAGCTGGACGATACCATGCAGATTCATATTCCGATCTTGTTTGACATGGATTTTCTAAGAACACATTTTAATGGCGTGAGAGCCAGCAATCATGTTAACAACTAAAAATCAACGCAAAAAAGTTAAATAGAAGTGTGGGCAGGATGGCAGGGGGAATGAAGGGGAGCCAGGGAGGGACTGTATTAGCGGATCCTTTTTTCCAAGTGTGCCAAGTGTGTCAACTTGACTGGATCAAAAGACTCACAGCTGAGTGTGCTACAAGGAGGCGGGGAGCTGGAGGCCCTAGGTCGCAGGGGCGTGCCCCTGGACCTTAGATCTCCCTCTGGGTCCTGCTTCCCGCCACCACGCCCTTCCACAGTGATGTTTCTGCTGCGGAGCCAGCTGACCGTGGACTGAAAACTTCAGAAATATGAGCCAAATAAACCATTTCCTTCTTTAAACTGTATATGTTAAGCATTGTTTTCCAATGAGAAGACTGACCAATACACCAAGGCAGAGAAGAACCACTAAACCAGGGCCAACAAACGGAGCGGGCCTCTGGCACCACTGAAAGCAGGACTCTCCACCTGGTCTCTCCTAAGTAGAAGCTCCACTCTTCTCTATCTCCATCCTCCTAAGCAGTACCTCCGTTCTTCTGTCTTCTATCTACGGACTGTCTACCTACCCGGTGAAAACATGACTGCTAGCAGCCCCTAAGTTTTATCTTTTACAGAGCTTGCCCCTGAACAGAGAAGGATTACATTCTCTGGGTCCTGAAGTCCAAAAGGCCCAGCAAAGCCTCTGCTGGGCCTACAGTGGGTAAGCCCTCCACCCTGAAATACTCAACGCAGCCCTGTGCATGGGAAAATCCCAGGGAAAAAGGTGGATGGCAACAACGTACATAAGGAACAGCTCTAAGTTCCCTTATCGATAAAGAAATAATTTTGGTTTTCAACTCCAAATATTGACTAAAATGCTAAAGTGAAGTGAGCAACTAGAGGTTAGAGAAATACTTCTAAAGGCAGATACAAATATAATTTGGAAAGTAAGATACAGTCATAGATAAAACAAATTATCAGTAATTATAATATATTGATAAAGAACTTTAATGAAGAGGCAATAAGCGTTACATACTGATTGCGTTAGGTATATAACTATAAATAAAAACAATTTTCACAGCTGGAATTCAATGAAAAACTGCTTTCTTCAAACCAATAAAAGAGAATGCAAGAAATTAGGAAACCACTTTATAATTTGCAAATTTATTTTAAGGAAATTCATTATTTTCCATTAGAAAAAAAATCACTAGTAAACACTTGACTGCCTATTATGGGTACAGCACTGAAGTGAGATGAAATTACTTCCAGAGACAAACTCAATGTAAAACTGGTAACTTTTAGAAATAGAAATGACCACTTACCATGGTACCAGGGTCTCTATCAGCTCGATTTCGTTCAAAAGAATTAATTTTATTGGCACTCATTTTATCAGTGTCAGCAATGACATAATGTCTAGGTGAGTAGGCGCTGGACAAGCTCCCAAGTAGCCTCAGGATCTCTGTGGTGTGCCCACCTGGAAAAAAGATTGGAAGGTCTAAGACTAAGAAATCCGAAACAAACAAACACACCCATCTGACCATGTTATAGCAATGCCATATTTTTGAGGTGGAAGAACCACCAATACTAAAAATCTCTCAAAAGACACAAGATTATTTGAAAACAATAGGGAGATAGATCTTTTACAAAAGGGCTGGGAGGCTGGGGATTTAGCTCAGCAGTTCCACCGCCTGGCTCACAAGTACAAGGACCTGAATTTGATCCCTGGTACCCCCACAAATAAATAAATAAACAAAAGGGATGGGAACCAAAAGATGGAAGAAAATGGGAGAGAGGAGACAGGAAGGGAAAGAAAAAGAATTAAAATGTGTTATATACACATACTAATTCTCTATGATGAATGTAATCATTATGTACTGCAAATATGTACTAGTAAAAAATAAAAATTGAACAAATAATCTAGGCCCTTGTATAAATACTACTTTTATATGAGGAAAATATAAAAAACATATAAAAATAAAATTGTCACTAGCAAGTAGTATAAAACAAAATTCTTGTAATCACGAAGACTGCTAGGCAGAAATCCAAAGGCTCATCAATACCTATTTCGAGAATAAACACACCAATAAGATGGAAAACACAGAAGAAATGGACAGATTCCTAGATACATATGAATTACCAAAGTTGAATGAAGAAGACCTAAAAATTCCAAACAACCGAGTATCAATAGAAGAAATTGAAAATGTAATTAAAAATTTACCAACTAAGAAAAGCCTAGGCCGTGAAGGTTTCACAGCTGAATTCTATGACATTTAGAGAAGAACTATTGCCATTACTGTTTAAACTCTTCAATGAAGTTGAAAGGGAAGCAAAATTCCCAGATTCATTCCTGGAAGCAAGTATCACCTTGATCCCAGAAGCAGAGAAAGACCCAACCAAAAAAGAGAACTATAGGCCAATCTCAATAATGAAGATAGATGCAAAAATCCTTAATAAGATACTGGCAAATACAATGCAGAAGATCATCAAGAAGATTATATACCCTAACCAAGGGGCATTCATCGCAGGGATGCAGGGATGGTTCAACATGCGCAAATCAATAAATGTAATACACTATATTAATAGAGCCATATGATCATCTCAATACAGAAAAAGTGTTCAACAAAATCTAACATGCATTCATGATAAAAAGCCTACAAAAAATTGGAATAGATGGTCTTTACCTCAACCTGATAAAAACCATCTATGAAAAACCAACAGTCAATAGCATACTGAATGGTCAAAAACTGAAATCCTTCACACTAAAAGCAAGGATACAGACTATCACCATTCAATATACTTTAGGAAACATTAGCCACAGCAATTAGACAAGAGAAAGAAATTAAAGGAATAAAGAGAGGAAATGAAGAAGTCAAATTGTCATTATTTGCAAACATGACACTCTATATAGAAGACCCCAAGAACTCCACCAAAAGTCTTCTACACTTAATAACCAAATTCAGTAGAGCATCTGGACACAAGGTCAACACACAAAAATCAATAGCTTTCCTGTACATGAACAAAAGACTCACTGAAAAAGGAACTGGAGAAACAATTCCCTTTACAATAGCATCCAAAAAAATGAAATACCTAGGAATCAACCTAACAAAATAAATCAAAGACCTCTACTCTGAAAACTATAGCACCCTGAAAAAAGAGATCAAAGAGGATATCAGAAAATGGAAAGACATCCTTGCTCCTGGGTAGGAAGAACCAATGTAGTGAAAATGGCCACACTTTCAAAACTGCTATACAGATTCAGTGCAATCCCAATTTAAATTCCAGCAACATACTTCACAGACCTTGAGAAAACAATCCAAAAATTCATTTGGTATAAGAAGAGACCTAAAATAGCAAAAGCAATTCTAGGCAACAAAGATAGGAAAATGGATATCAAAATCCTTAACCTGAAACTATACCACCAAGATAGTATGATAAAAACAGTATGGTACTGTCAAAGAAACAGACCCAAGGACCAGTGAAGCAGATTCGAAGACGCAGAAACAACTACAGACAAACTCATCCACCGCATCTTGGAGGAAAGATAGTCTCTTTAATAAATGGTGCTGGAAAAATTGGGTTTCAACTTGCCAAAGATAAAAACTAGACCTATATATCTCACCATGCACTAAACTAAAACTGAAATGGATTAAAGATCTAAATATTAAAACAGAAATACTAAACCGGCTACAAGAGAGGTTAGGTAGAACTCTTGAAGATACTGGTGTAGGAAAAGATTTCATGAACAAAACCTCAGTTGCACATAAGTTAGGGCAAACAATCAACAAGTGGAATCTCTTCTTAGTAAAAAGCTTCTGCACAGCAAGAAAATCCACCAACAGTGTGAAGAGACAACCCACAATGTGGGAAACATTTTTACCAGCTGTTCCTCAGACAAAATTCTACTATCTGGAATACATAAAGAATTTTAAAAATTCAGACTTCCCAATTAAAGACCCAATCTAAAAATGGGCATCTGAAATGAACAGACATTTCTCAGACAAAGAAGTCGAATAGCAAATAAACATATGAAAAAATGTTCAACATCACTGCTCATTCAAGAGATGCAAATGAAAACCATGCTGAGACTTCACCTCACCCCAGAAAGAATGGCTGCTATGAAAAATCCACCAATAACAAACGCTGGCAGGGATGTGGGGAAAAAGGAAGCGTTCTCCACTGCTGGTGGGAGTGTAGACTGGTGCAACCACTGTGGAAATCAGTATGGAGATTCCTCAAAGAACTAGGACTAGAGGTCCCATTTGACCCAGCTATTCCCCTCCTGGTTATCTTCCCCAAAGAATTAAAAGAATTGCCGGGTGTGGAGGTGCACGCCTGTAATCCCAGCACACGGGAAGCTGAGGCAGGAGGATCACTGTGAGTTTGAGACCAGCTTGGGCTACATAGTGAGTTTCAGGTCAGTCTCAACTACATAGTGAGACCCTGTCTCAAAAAACCAAAAAAAAAAACAAAACAAACAAACAAAAAAGAATTAAAAGAATCATACCACAGCAATACATGTGTACCCATATCCACAGTGGCACAGTTTGTAATAGCTAAAACATGGTAACAGCCCAATTGCCCATCAACTGGAGACTGGATGAAGAAAATATGTATTTTTATAAAATGGAATATGACTCAGCCATAAAGAATAAGAAATTAGAAGACCAGGGATATAGCTCAGTGGTTCCGCTGCCTGCCTCACAAGTGTATGGTCCTGAGTATGATCCTTTGTACAAAAAAAAAAAAAAGAACGAGAAATTAGAGGCATTTATAGCTACATGATGCACATTGAGGTGATATACTTGTGAAATAAATAGGACACGTGTAAACACCAATACTTTCTCTGTTGTGAGAAACTGAAAGTGTAAATAAGGATAAAATGTATAATAGATAATACAAAATAGGAAGAAAAGGTGCAAAGGGGAAGGGGAAGTTGAAGGGGCAGGGGAAAGGAAAGAGGTGAATGGAATTAATATGAGAAAATGAAAAAAATTGAGTCTTTGTAAATAGAGAGGTTGAAGGGAGGGAAGGGGGAACAATGAGATTCAAGATATATTATGTAAAGATAAAAATCTCCAATGATGAATGTCATTATATTGTATACCTAGGGCCAGGGGTTTAGCTCAGTGGTTCTGCTGCCTGCCACAAAAGCTCAAGGTACTGAGTTCAATCCCCGGTACCAAAAAGAAAAAGAATGGGAATAAACCTATTTTAACTTCATTTCAGAAAACTCCGTGCTTCAGCCAGATTGACATCTTCAACATTCTCTATCCATCCTATTTGTTAATTCTTCTTGCCTTTGGTCATGTTGTTCCCTCTACCTAGAAAGCTTCCCCTACTCTCCTCCTTTATCGTTCCAAGAAAGAGCTTTGAATATACCATGAACACGTAGAAAGATAAGCAAACAAATCAAGTATATGTTCCCTCTTAATACATTTTTTACTAGGAAGAATTTATTACTAAGAATTTACTATTAAAGAATTTAGTAGAAAGAAAGGAAGAATCTTTTTTCAGGTTCTACAAGGAATTATATAAAGAAAGGTGGCACAGATTTAGTGTAAATTTCAGAAATTAGAATCACATTAACTTCATACAATTTTTAAGAAGCAAGAGATATTTGACTGGGGCATGTAATTTACACATCTGGTTTATACTCATTTTAGTATGTCTATTTTTAGCCTTGAAAGTGTTATGGTTTGCAAAGCAGGTACTTGTTTTCACAGCTAGAACAATTAAGGATAAAACCTAATAACTAAACATCTTTCACTGCAATGAAAACATTATACTTGCTTTAACAGTCTTTTTTTCTTTTCTTTTTAAAGAAAACACTCATAGAATATACTCACTGAAAAGTTAACGCTGTAACTGAATAAAGTCATAAAAATGATGGACTCTTTTAGATGTACTCTATTAAGATAAATTTGGGGGGAATAAAATCATCTCAGTTCTACCTTAAAATATACCCACCATCCATTCACCATCTTTTTTGCTACTGTCTTCTTCCAAGCCACTGTCATCTTTCACACAGATTATGAGCAGAGCTTCCTAGTCTATCCCCGCTACTTCTCCTTTATGCTATTCTTAACAGTATCCAGTATGATCCTATTAAGAGTTGATCACATTATTTCAGCTCAAAATTCTTCACTGGCTTTGTGTCTCACATAAAATAAAAGGCTCTTTGTAATCTGACCCTGACCTCTGCTCCAGTCCTCTCTAGCCTTCCTGCTGTTATCCGTTATCTTCCCAGGAGTCTTTTAAAAAATGCAACCCTTCCTCCCATGTCATAGTATTTATCACCATATAATATACTATGTAGTCTAGTTCTTTTGCCTTTTTTATCTCCACATCCCTAACCCACTACAAGGCAAGCACCATAAGGGTAGGGATTTTTGTTTACTCTATTACTGCTGTTACCTTCCAGACCTAGAAAATAGTAAAGCCCTCATATTGTTGAATGAAGTGAGTTTGATATTAAATCCAAAGTTTGCCTAAGGAGATAAACTGTATATCAAAGAAAAATAGTAATTTTAATATATGTTTTCTGAATGTAGTTGGTCATAATAATATTTTATGGTAACTAAAGACTGAATGTTGCTTGGTCTTCAGGGTAAGCATTGAAAATGCTTTCTCCTTCCTCCCAAGTTTTGGGCATGTACTACTGAAGTGTTTGATTCTAAGTCATTCTTTGACCCACATGACCCACATGACCCCTCCCTACCTTGAAAGTTCTGAATGAAGAAGTATACCATTTGCCCAAACAATGTTCAATCTAATTTTAGTTTCTAGATCACCAATCTAGTATTTTTTTTCCCCAGTACCGGATATTGAACTCAGGATCTTGTGCTTGCCAGGCAGGCATGGTGCTGCTGAGCTACATCCCCAGCCACTCCACCAATCTAATATTAACCATAAGAACAACTTTAACATTAATCTGTTTGCTCAAGTCAGAAACATCATCCTTGAGCCTTCTCATCTCCAATTTAGGTAAAACAGTGCCCTTCCTGAAGACTGCATAGCCATAGCAGAGTTGTACTTTTTAAACAATAATTATAAAACTTTAGCATTGATTGTGGCAAGTACCATTTTGTCTTGTCTTGTTAGTTTTTCTAGATTATCTATTTATTTCATTCACTGGTGTTTGCATACTTTATATAGTGCTTTGTACATCGTCAGCTCTCTCTGGCAAGTAGTATCAGTCAATTTTGTTGTTTCCAGAGTTTAACTTACTGCCCGGCCTCTCCTACAGCTCAAAATATGTTAAGTGAATAAACTAATGATTTATACTTGACCGGAAGTGTGGTACACTTGCTCATACTATAAATATTATTCCATATGAATGCAATCTCTTGGTATTTCTAAATACACACACGGGGTGTGTGTGTGTGTGTGTGTGTGTGTGTGTGTGTGTGTGTGTGTGTGTGTGTGTGTGTGTGTGTGTGCGTGCTTGTGTAGTCATTCAACACCGTGAGAGTCTGGTCAACAGTGGACATGATCTATGACAGTGCTCCCATGAGATTGTAAGAGCTGAAAAATTCCTGATGCCTAGTGACATCATGGTTGTCATAACTTAGTAACCCAAGGCAATACTCACATAAATAAACCTACTGTTTGCTACACATCACATAAAAGTATAGCACATACAATTATGTACAGTATTACATAATACTTGATAATGACAGTGAATGACCATGGTACTGGTTTGTATCTTTACTGTGTACTTTATTGTTATTTTAGAGTATATACCTTCTTATTAAAAAAAAATTCTTGTAAAACAGCATGCCCTGTATTGGTAGCAGCAACTTCATACATCTCATTTTTATCTCTTAATTGCATCATTTTCTGTTGTCCTTGATTTAATCTTTTGATGTTTTGTTCACATGGCTCCAGGAATAAACTAAACAATATACATGTTTACCAGAGATCCTCAGTGTGCAGTATGCTAGATCACCGAGGATTGTGTAAGTACGCTGTTCACACAAAGATGTATTTCTTAAACGTTAAGTCCTTCATGGCCATATTTAATCTATGTCAAAATAGTCCATTTGAAATTCTGAGTGACTAAAGAACGAGAAACTAGAGACATTTATAGCTAAGTAGTTGAACATTGAGGACATACTCTTCAGTGAAATAAATAGGATGCACATGTGTAAATACCAAATAGTTTCTCCGGTATGAGAAACTAAAAGTGCAAATAAGGATTAAAATGTATAATATATAATGTGAAAGAGGAAGAAAAGTTGCAAAGGAGTAGAGGAAGTGGGAGGGGTGGGGAAAGGAAAGAAGGGAAAAGAAAAAATGGAAACAAAGTCTCTAAATAGGGACAGGTGGAGAGGTAGAATAAAGGGCAGAGGAATGGGGAAAAACAAAGAACAAAGATACATCATGTAAAGGTACAAGTTTCCAATGATCAATGTAAATGTATTGTATACCTAAAATGTGCCAATAAAAGAATTTATGGAAAAAAAAATTCTAAGTACCCTCAGCGGCTGGTGGATTGAGACTTGTTTAGATGATAGGACAGTTGGTCGGTCATACCTTGCTCCTTGCTGTTGTCCTACGGTATTGTTTTTATCCTCGTAGGTAATGTTTTATCTATAGGTAATGTTTCAGTCCTTGCAGACTTTGTACATTCATAGATGTGACATTCTACTTTGCCTCGTTTATCATGTAATATTGCGTTTCCTAAACTAAGTACAAAAGGCTTCTCAGACTAATAACGCACAACAGCCAAACATGAAACCAAATGTCAGAATCAAAAGGCTTCAGCGTTCTCTGTTCACTAATTATTTGTTAGAAAGCTACACCCTACAGAAAGGCTTAATTACATACGAATGCAAATTACTTGTCATTAAAAGGCGCCTAGGCCGCGTCAGCAAACCAGCCCTTCTCCCTCGCTGGGCTGACCGGCTCCAGTAACGCAAACAAACTACAAATCTCAGCATGCAATGCGCCAAGAAGGGCTAAGGAGATCAGAAAGAGCGTCGCGGTGTACTCTGGGGTTTGTAGTGACCCACCCAAACTCGACAGTCACCTCACTGATACTTACCGGACCCAGCCACTACCAAAAGACTGAGAGACTCCCGGGGCGTAACATCGTGGGACCGAAACACTATCCATAGTCTTAGGACTAGAACGACCGCCACCGCTGCCGCAACCGCAGCTAGAATAAGGACACATACCATGTGAAAGAATGGCGCGTGCGCACTATTCCGAGCCTAGCGGTCACACTTAGCAGGTACGGGTACGGAGAAGACTCAAAAGTACAGCGACACGTCTCTCGGTGGGCGGGGCTTACTAGAAACTGGGTGGGGTTAAGGACCCAAGGCGCAGCTGGGCGTCTTTGAACGTTTGTGGCTTCCCCTTTGGGTTTTGCCCGGCTGCCACCCAGGCATAAAATGAAATCTGGAAAGCTACAAACGCTGGATAGTTTGATTTTCGCTAGTGATGAGATCCCGAAAAGCCCGAAGCTCACAAGTTAGGAGGTGTTCCAGCTCTACCTACCAACTTTGGCCTGAGACCAAGGCAAAAACATCGCTTTTTTCCTTCTTCTCCCCTTCTATCTCTCCCCCGTCCCTTTCTTCTCCCTCCCTTCCCGTCTCCCTCCTCCTACCCACTCTTAACGCCTTTCCTCATTCCCTAACCCTGTCCTGCAGAGACAATACTGAACATGAAGATTTTAGGGCCCTTAGGTAAACCTGTTTTTTCCCATCGCTCATGTTTCTTAGGTGTTTTCACAGACCTCACTCAGTGTGAGGCAAGTAATTGAGCATGATCGTCTCAGGTTATACCACGTTCCTGAGAGTATTTGAGGTTGGATCTTCATGGGCTCGGCCAAAAATAATGATCTGCCAACATCTCTTCCAATCCGTTTTACATATTTTAATGTGTACTTTATTAATATTACAGTAACGTAAAAAATATTAGAGAAGTCCCTATATCCCATGCAAACTTGCCTTTGGACCCCCATAAACTTAGAGGTTAGATATACCCATGATGACTGCGCATGTCCAGAAAGGTGCAACAACTTGCTCAAGTAGAACAGTGCCGTCAGATAAACCATTAGAGACCAGAAATCCTAACACCTGCATTGTAGGAGTAGTATGTCGTGTATTCCTTTGCTAAATTCAGACTTGCCTGATGGTCATATTTACCTGGATCCTAAAATATGTTATTGAAAGTGTCGACTGCTAGAGGCCTCAGGGAGCTACTAAATCAGAATCTCAGAAAAGGTGCCTGGATCAGCTTATTAAAACAGTGAATCAATTCTTGAATCAGTAGGCAAGTTTGGGGAGCTTCATAGATATATCCTTTTCTGGCTCATAGATGTCCAGACACTTTATGTGCACAATCCCTCTGAACCCTAAATCCTCAAAATAAGGTCATTAAAGTGATATTAGTCCACTCTTTATAAAGAAATAAATCCCATAGAAATTAAATGTTTTGCTTAAGTTTACTTAGTGAATAAGCAGAGGAGAAAGTTCATATTGTGGACTTAGAAACAGTATTTCTCAAATTTTTATGAAATCAAAGTCCCCTGGATTTACAAATGCATAGTTGAAAGTTCAGAGGTAGAGCTGTGGTATAAGTCAAAAAATAACTGAAGAATATTGCAGTGTATTTTCTTTTATCTGTTGTCTTGGTATTCCAAGGAATGATTCTAACCTAAGACTTTCTCCCCCAGTACTTAAAAGATGTTAGTTGTCCCAGGTAGTTGCATCCACAGTAAGTAGTTTCCAAAGCCAAAAAGGAAGTTATTTTTCTCACGGAGTTTTTTTAAGGATAAGAAAACCTTTGCCAGAATTCCTCACAGTTGACTTTCACTCCTTTAGGCTGTTTTTACATCACTTTCCCATGCATAAAACAAAAGAGACCCCCAAACGGGTGGTAGTAGATATGGAAGGTGATACATAATTGTGCAATAATATATGATCATTGGGTGGAGGGTGGGCACTGAACAAAATGGGCATTTCTTTGGAGAGGAGGAATCTGAAGGAGGGAGGGCTGTGAAACAGGCAGGCAATACCAGTAACATCTGTATTGCTGGGAAGGTGAAGGATGATGTGTCTTTGTAAACTGATGCTTCCAATGTAGATACCAGGCATATAATTATTATTTGGGTCTAGGCGCCAACATCCATAATAAGGAAGACAATACTGACAGTATACCTTTCTACCTCACATTACTCCATCTTCTAACTACTATAATTACCTTTTATGTATAGGAAAAAATCAGTTTGGCCACATTTGGCAAGCAGCTGGAATGAATGGGGAAATTGAACATTTGGGAAGTTAGTGCAGAGAATCAAAGATAGTGTAGTAGCAGACATTGTTTGGAGTTAAGGTTGAGTTATCCTGCATGAATGAGAAAGAAAAACTTCACAGTTTTCATGTCAAGGAAGTTGAGGACTGCAGGGAGGAGACAAGTAGCAGGCAGGAACAGGAACAAAGTTAAAAATTCATGAGGAAAAATGTCAGTTGGGTGGCCTGAGTCCTGAGCTCTCACAGAATGTGTAATCAAGCAGTTAGGAAGGTGCAATGCTAAGTGAGGACCACTCATGATGCTGAAGTTCCTGAGTGGCAGAGAAGAAGATAAAAGAGCTAAAGCTAAAGTCTTTAAAGACTAAGAGTTTAGAAGACGATAGCAGCCAAGAGGAGCACTGAATTGAGAAGGAAATCTTTCCCTTGTTTAACCAGATTTATTCTCCATCCTCTCTACCCCTCACAGTGCCACGTCAGCTCAAATCAACAGGTTCCCACTAAATCAACAGGTTTCCTTGCTGTCTGCTTAATGGGGATCTTTAGCAGAAAATCAGATGGAGAGAAGGTTGTGTACTGGAACTGAAGGTCTCTGCTCTTTTTATGACTGTCTCTCTACACATCTCTCTGCCCTAGGTCACCGCCCTGGCTTCTTCTACTCCTTCTAGTCCATGGATGGTACCAGTTCCACTGCTACAAGCTCTGGGTTACTGCTCTCACACCTTTGTAAATAATCTCTACATTTAATCATCTGGAAATAAACCTAATCCAAGTGTACCATCAGTATCCTTCTAGAGGACACTGAATGATACAATTACACAACAAGAATTTCAAAGGAAGTGGAGTTTTTGAAAGAAGGAAGAGAGATGTGGAAGCTGTAACAGAGAGCAAGATGGCTCCCCTCACACTTCCTTGTGAACTGTGAGAAACAAACAGCCTCCATGCAAGAGATATACTTGGGAAGCATGGGAGAGCTGAGCTAGGCTTAAGTGGGAAAGTAGAGAAGACAGAGGTAAAGGAAAATTTGCAGGTTACATGTCAGGAGATGCAAAGGACGCAGTGAAGGGGTTTGAAATGTGATGAGGAATGGGAGTTGAGTCAAATTGGGGGACGTACAAAGAACTATTGAGATAAGAGTCAGGACCATAATGGATGATCTGGGAGGCTACTGAGGATTGAAGCAAATAGGGATGTTACCAGGCTCTCACATTATTTTAGTTCAGATCCATAGTGCCCAGTATGTGCTCTACACTAGGCAAGGCATTGGGGGTACAGTGTGATAAAGTAGTAACAGCACCCAAGCAGTGACTTAACAATGAGTCTGACTGTGTGAGGCACAGGCCTCTAGATAGGCCTCCTAGAAAGAAGCCATCCAGCCCATGGGCTGCCAGGGATCTTGACATCTGGGCCCCTTCCCATCAGAGTTCAACTGTCAGTCCTAATAAAGATAGAAAAGTATGACTAAAGAAGACTGAAGCTTTTCTGCAAGAACCAGGAAGGCCATTTTGGTCAATATTGTGCCCGCCCATGACAAGGTAGGATAAAGCTCGGAGGTCCTAGTCTTGGTCGGACACAGAACTGGGAGCGTGTAACCACCAGGACCAATGGTCATACACCTTACCTTTAAAGATTTCTGGGATGTTTGGAAGGTTTGGTGACAGAAATTGTACCAATACAACTGAAATAATCTTTGTTATAGCCAAGATATTTTCTTGTGACTGTTTGAGTCACAAACTTTGCTGGATAAAGCCACTGCCCTGGGCCTCCTTGTATGCTAACCCTTGAAGCTAAGGTAAATATTTAATATTTCTAGTAGCTGGCATTCGTTGTGTGCTTACTATATGCCAAGAACTTAGAACATGAATCAACCAATTCTTGTAACAGGCAGTAAGATAGACACTATTATAATTCTCATTTTATAAATGAGGACATTTAGGTATAAAAGAGATGATGCCATTTGTTCTGGGTCACAAAGCCAGGGATTGGTAGAATCAGGACTCAATCCTACTCAGATTCTATTGTCTACAATTTTATCATCTATAGTATTATTAAAACTACTTGTTGCATATTTACACCAGCTATTGTGCTATATATTAAAGCACTATAGAAATATGGTATTATTTACCATGTCTCACTTTTCATTTATAAAATTAAATAGGAGAAATATTTTAAAGAACTTTTCAAGCATTCCAAAAAAGAATTATTTTTTTCTATTTTTCCAATATACTAAAAAATATACTATAGTTCTGTATTATATTTGTATAAAAACCTTGATTCAAACCTTATTTAAGGTAAATTTATAGTTAAATTATTAAGATACCATAATTTTATTCTTTGTTACTTTATGTTCATTTATGTCAAATGTACACCCAAAATGTCTTATGAGTTCAAAATGTAACAAGGCATTAAAACCTTAATTAAAAATACATTCCCATGCTTTGCTAGCATGTGCAAGGCCCTAGGTTTGATCTTCAAAACTGCAAAGAAAAAAAAAAAATCCCAGACTATAATGGGAAGCATCATACCATGTACACTATTTATTAATGACAATCACAAGAATAGCTTTAGTTTTCAAAGTTACCAGATGAAGTAAGAAACAGTATTTCTGTACTAACTGCTGCTTGTCTCTGCAAGACACTGAATTAATTTCCTCATCATCTCAAACCTCATTTCCCCTCAAAGCCTCCACCTGGCATCTACATTGCTTTTTACTTTTCTCTTTGTATATACTGCCTTATCTCTCTGTATCTTAAATTCTTTTTGGCTGCTGCCAAGGTTTTTGTCCATCATAGAAACTCACATATTGTGTCTTCACTTTTATTTGGCTATTTGTTATTCCTCAACTTTACATAAGGAAAAACCATAGCGAACCTTCTGTGCAATTCGTATATATAATAATACACACTACCTGCCATTTAGTAAGCATGTGCATAGTTTCTTAACTACTTCTAACAACCATTTTAGGAATTTAAGTACTATCGTTATGCCTGT